CACCATGTGCAGGCCAGTATGGGATCGCTGGCCTAAAGGAGCTTATGATGTCCATGTGTCTGGACATTCGTTCGAATGCTGATTCTTCTTGTCAAGGGTAGTGGATCAAAACACTGTTCCTTCTTTAAATAAGCTATCAGGCAAGAGGAGCTCCCCCCCACCCCAAATGTTAAAATAAGCCAGAGGAATACTAAAAAGTTGATGCCCTTTTATAAGGTCCCTGGTTCCATCCCTTCTCCATGTGGGTCTTTGCTGACGTGCAAAGGACACACTGAAAAACAGGGACAAGATGACAAGATCAAGACAACAATGGCAGGGGGTGGTAAACAGAAGCTAATCCATTTGCCTGACATCAAGAGCTAAAGTGAATTCAAGATTTTAAAGCAAATATTAACACTTCACTATGGCTTTTCGCAGGTGTTCATATAAGCTAACCTGAAACAGAGAGTTTGCTATGAAGTTCCCAAAGAACAACAGAACGCGGAATCTCTCAACCTTCAGAGAAGTTTACGACTAGACTACTAAGAATTGTACCAGAGCCGAGAAGCAGAAAATCTTGAGTTAACTCGGTGGAAGAGCTCCGTTCTTTCCTCAGTCCAGAGATCCCTTGTAGATAAACACATTCCAGAACAGCTGGGAACAGGAAGCCAGGCAGCAGGACCCTGAAAACTTACAACAGCTCTGAAACTGTCATGAGATAAAGGCAGTGGACACTCTGGAGGTCTGGGTGTTAGGCCTAATAAGGGGCCTTCCTAGTAGCAGAATGTTGATACACTATGGTGGACCTGGGGTCCAAACAAACAAAAAGTGTACTGCCATCCAGGCAATTCTGCCTGATGGCCACCCTATAGGACAGGGCAGAACTGCCCCTTTGTGTTTCCAAGTCTGTAAATGTTTACTAGTAGAAAGCCTCACCTTTCTCCATCAGTGTGGGCTAGTGGGTTTGAACTACTGATCCTGTGTGTGGTTCACAGTTCAGTGAGTAACCCACCACACGATCAGAGTTCCTATGGGTCAGGAATGGGCAAAGTAAATGAGCACAGGAAGTCGCCAAGACTACCACTATCTAATTCGAAAATTCCTTTTGACTCCAAAATTGCTAGTGCTGGATTCTCCAACAGGTGTGGCTACCAGGAGTTTCGGCATCCATTTGGTAGTGTTCTAGTTCTCAGGATGACTAGGGAATCCACAGCTGTTCGTTGTTTTCCTGGTTTGTAACTTACAGAATGACAGGGAACTCCTGATTCATAGTAATCTACTTTCTAGAGATAAAAGACTCAAAACAGCTTTTAAAATATTCCGAACACAGTGTAAGACATGACAAAATAATACTAATTTATAAATTATCAAGGGTTTGTGAGGGAGGGGGCGTGGGGAGGGAGGGGGAAAAAATGAGGAGCTGATACCAAGGGCTCAAGTAGAAAGAGAATGTTTTGAGAATGATGACGGCAACAAATGTACAAATGTGCTTGACACAATGAATGGATGGATGGATGGTGGTAAGAGTTGTACGGGCCCCCATAAAATGATTTAAAATAAACAAAAAAACATTCAGAACATCACCACAATGAGCCCAAATGTCTATTGTCTGTTCCGCTTTCTGAACCTTACAGTTGGTTTCCCCTGCGTGATATAACAGAAGCAGAGCGATAGACTAGCTATTAGTGCAAAGACTTAGGAGGAAGCACACACACTTCCGGGTCGGGATTGCAGCTCTTCATTCGTTCTCAGGCCAGGCTCTCACGGACCCGAGAGCGGCAGTGGGAGAGTCAACAGCGGAGGCAGCTCACAGCGACTGACTGTCGGGTATTACTAGACTGACTGTGAAGCTGCGTGAGCACTGTGACATCATATCTCACTTTGAACAAACATCAGGAACTCCCAAGTAATAAATCCTAGATTTAATATTAGTATAAACCCACAAGCCCTGATCAGTGTATGTGGAGCAGCAACTGTTATTATTTTAGCAAATCCTGGCTTAGTGTGTCCAGGCTGTATTTGGAAGACTTTCTCTGACCCAGTCTAACGTCAAAACTCTGTAAACTGGAAGAAGTGAAAAAAGAGAAAAACCTCTGGTAGGAACTACATGCTCACGGAGAATTTTATCAATGTCTCTCATTTACCTGGCCGCTTTTCTTTAAGAGCTGGCTCTTATAAGAGGGCAGTTTGTTGAAGGTGGTTCGGATGTAAACTTCCAGCGTGGATTTAAGGCAGGAAGTAAAAATTGCCAAGGACCAAAATACAGATAAACAGGAAGACAAGGAATGTGTGGGCTAGTGAGTGGCTGTGGGTGCTTTCACCCTGCCCATACTGGTGGGATGAAGGAAGAGCGCACACCAGCACACAGCTTATCTCAAAGGCGAGTGACACTGCAAATGACCTGTGAACGTGAAGGGACCCCAAGCGGTTCCCTGTGAACATACATTCTTGCACCCTAGAATTTGGGAAGACAGAGAAGGGAACTGGGTTCGAACAAACACACATTCCAAGAAAGTGTGACCTGGCGGCAAATCAACCCCCACGATGGACATAATTGAAGGAAATGTAATTCTAAACAGGAGGAACAAAAGGGGCTGCTGAGTTACTGCCAGTGCAAATGCTATTATCTTTCTCTCTCCCCAGTGGAGCTCTGAATTGAAAATCCAATCGAGTACTGGTCCTCCCACCCACCATCAGAACCCAACAGAAAAACAGACACTCTGAATGCTAATAGGTCAAAAATGCGCCCTAACAGGCGAAAGATAAGCAATTCCACCATAAGGCATGCAAGTTAATTAACTGTCTTTAAGAGAGAGAGAAAAGTAAAGAAGTTGCAGGTACTTTCTGAAATGAAGAAACGGGAAGATACAAGCGTTAGCAACAACATAATTTAGAGCCCATCTTCATGGAAAAAGCAGGCACAATCCATCTGGACTACAGTAAGGAAATCCGATAATGACTTTAGCTGGGAAGGGCAGAGACACACAAAGGATCTCTATGATCTCAGACGGATTTGGTTCTGAAGAGTACCCCACAACCACCCTAGATCCATCTTCAAAGCAACCTGCGGATCATGTCTAACGCTTCCCAGCATGCAGTCTATGCATTCTTATCAAGGACTCCTGGAATTTTTCTCCTGTGTTCAAGGAGGAGGCTAGTGAGCACTGAGGAGCCCTGATGGTCTCAGGGGCTGCAATCTTCAGGATCAGCAGTTCAAACCCACCAGAAGCAATGAGTGAGAAAGACGGGGCTCTTCCGTGAAGAGGTACAGTTTCGGACACTCACAGGGGCAGTTCTACCCTGTTCCTTAGGGCACGATGCGTTGATGCTAAATCGACTTGATGACAGTGGTCTGGCTGGTAGTGACCAGTAAAGAGCTCTCAGTGCGAGCATGCTGGCCTCATGGCAGGAGGCCGTTGCTTCTCATGGGCCCAGAAAGGTATTGTGGGGAAAGAAGCATTATTAGATTGCTTTTAACTGTGAGAGGAGCTGAACATGGTTTGTGATTTTAGAACAATGTGACATGGTTTCATGGGATCTTTTGTGATGTGATGACCAGCAAAGTCCTCTAGCTTCCCTTTCCTTCTTAAATGATGACAGAGAAGAATATTGACATTTTTTAATGGTTTAAAATTATGTTCATTTTTTGGTGTGATTTTTGGCAAAATCGGTCCAAAGCGTTTCGTTCTTATAAAATATAAAGTACCTCTCATGGAGCTGGGCATTCCTACTGCTGCAGAATTAACACTGGGGCTTGTTGGTCAGCTGAATGAACGAAGGAAAGCCACTAGGGTCGTCCTCTCTGACCGGGAGGAAACGAAGAATGCTCAAGTTGGATGTGATTCTGAAGGTCTCTAATTTAGGAACACTCTTCACTCACCTTCTGACTGGAAGTTACCCACAGAGGGTAGTTCACTAGTTACTATGTGTAATTCTTTTAAAGCTTCTTACCACAGATGGAATGACTCTACCTCTATTTTCTGCCCACTGGTCTTCCTGATTCTGTCTTTTGGGCACCGCACACCAAGACTGTCTTTAAGACAATACCTCACCCACTGTGTGGAAATACATAGTTATCCCAACCCTGCTAACTTTTTGCCCCTCTCCCAAATATATATATTCCATATTTTCAACTGTTCTAAGTTATACACAGACTTCTCTTGCCATCTTTCTTCTCTCTCCGGGAAAGTAAACTGCTATGAGGAGAGTTGTCCTACAGAAGATCTGATAGTTCCAACCAGCATCCAGTGAGGACCTACCAACCAAGACAATAGCCAGGTGACTGAGCTGAAAGTGGGTCACCCACTCTTTGAGACAGCTGTGGCCATGGCCAGCACCTTAACTGTAGTCTAGTGAGAGATCTTGAGTCAGAGGATCAACTCACACCAGGACCAACTCACATCATGATTTCTGACTCACAGCAACCTTGAGATAACTGTTTTAAAATGCTAAATTTCAGGGTAATCTGTTAGCAATAAAGAATCCATACAGGGAACAACAAGTGATCCAAAATAGATGGGGAGGCAGATGTAGGAGATCTGGTAGGGCTTGATCAAGGGCAATGTAAGCAAGAGGTATTACTGAAACCCAAATGAAGACTGACCATGATAGTGGGGCAAGAGGAAAGTAAAAGGAAATAGAGGAGAGAACTAGGAGGCAAAGAGTATTTATAGAGGTCTAAATGCAGGCATGTACATATATAAATATATTTATATATGAGGATGGGGAAATAGATCTATGTGCATATATTTATAGGTTTAGTATTAAGGCAGCAGATGGACATTGGGC